GGGCTCGTGGTTTCTGACAGCTCTGTGCTACTCTCCGACTTCAGGCCCTCACGGCGGTGCCGTAGCCTCCTCGCCTGATTTCTCTGCATCTGCCTCAGGGAAAGGTGTATGATAAGCTGCGAGGCATTGAGAACGGCCACAACTGCAGCGATGGTCGCAGCGGGATCCATGATCGCAGTGCTGTGGCGTCCGCGCTGTCACTGATCTAAAAGTGCGCGAACTGATTTCCCGCCGGCGCTTTCAGGGAGGGAGGGAGGGCGGTAGTGACTGACGGATGACGACAGTTACCCAAAAGCACCCTCGCCACATTTTTTTACCCAGAAGGCATTGGGGGCTCGACCCAGAATTCCAATGGGCAGCGGGGACTGCGGGAACTGTGGGATAGCTGCCCACAGTGCACTGCTTCCAATGTCGACGCTTTCCCTGGTAGTGTGGACTGACAAAGTCGAATTTCTGTCCTTAGTGTGGACACACACGTTCGACTTTCTAATATCGATTGCACATATTCGATTTAACTAAAATCGAACTACTCTCGTAGTGTAGACATACCCTAAGGGCTTATCTACATAAAACTGTACCATTTTAACTATACTGGCATAGTTAAAATAGTACCACCATCCCTAGTGTGGATATAGATACACTGGTATAAAATGTGCTTCCCTAAGAGAATGGGACTAAGCTCTACTGACATAACAGTATACTTTATACTGGCAAAACAGTGTCCACAACCTAGAGGTTGTGCAAGTGTAACTATTTTGATTAAAAAATTACACCTCTAACTAAAATAGTTATACCAGTACAAAAAGCATGCAGACCAGACCCGTAAAATGATGAGGCTACTTCCTGCAAGAAACCAGGTTTTATTGGCTCAGCTGAGGACTTCACCTGATACTGTTAACTCTGTCTTACCCCAACCATTTTAGGTAATTAAAAGTAAACTGAAGCAAATTTTAAAAATGTGGAGGAATTTTTGATGGGTTTAGAGAGCAAATTGTTTTTTCTTATTTATATGTTTATTTTAACATTAGCAATATCACATCTCCCCACTTTCTTCTCATGACGGGAGATCTGAGTATTGCTGCCATAGGAGACTTTAATTTGAGCTGCAGTTCCAACTCCATCAAAAGGAGAAGAGCATCCTCCTCCTTACACAGGCAGCCCATCCAACTGCTCAGGCCGATGGGACAGAGCTGTTTCAGGCACGGGATACACGTGGATGCAGGAAGCTGTGTAACACTGATCCCCTGGGGTTGCAGATTCCTGTTTCCCCTTCCCAGGAGCAGCAGTTGGCCTGGGCGGGATGGTGGCCCAGGGAGGGCACGGCGGGAGGACGGGCCTATCTCCATCTAGGGCGCTAGGCTGCTCAGACGACCCCGTACAGAGGGCCCGGCAGCTCGGGGAGGGCGTGTCTGGGTGGGCCAGCCCCACTGCTCCCACCTCCTGCTGCCGCAGAGAACAGCTGCGGCCCCGGCCCCGGGGGAACGACCCTGCCGAGGGAGTCTGCCTTTCGCTGGGGGCCGCCGGCGCTGCCAGCCGTGCTCAGCGGGGTTTGCAGCAGCCCGAAGTGGTAGAGGGGCAGGTGCTCCGTCCCGGACGAGGACGAACAGCGGCCCGAATAGGAGGCAGAAGCAGAGGCCTCCTCCCGCGCTGCCGACCTCCTCTCGTCGCTTCCCCGCAGCATCTCCCTCAGCGCAGGCACCAGAGACCACACACAAAATGGCGGCACCGGCGACGACATGAAACCCGCGCATGCGCAAACAGGAAAGGACGCCCGCCGCCGCAATCCAGTATACCATGGCCGCCTGGAAGCCATTTTGTTTTGGGAATCATAAGAGCCCTGCCGCGTGTTATGCGGCTGGCCCTTTAAATCCCCGACATGGGAGTGAGCATACAAAGCAACTGCTGCTGCACAGTGAGTTTGGTCCCCGTCTGCCCGAGCAGACA